CGAAGGAGGTTTTTGTTAGTACTAACAACTACGTTGCACAAGCTAATGAACCGTTGATCAATCGTCGATAACTATTGCAGATGCCCTCCCCCAATTTTTATCCAGCGAAATGGATATAGAAAAACGGCACAGCTTGTGAAGTTTTGATCACGGCCAGATGTCATTGGTGACTGGCAAGCATAGCCGTTGTGTCGATCATGCTGAAGCGAACGCTTTCATCACTTCCAGAAATATAGTGTTCAAATATGCAAGGTTTACGGTTCTGCTGTCTGATACGGGCATCTTGCATGACTGCTGTTCGGTGTGACCTACCTCAGAGGTGGCTTTCATCCAGGGTAATAAACTGCACAAAATGTTAATCGATTTTAAAAAATTAAATACAACAACCTGCCTCTGCTCTTCTGATCCCCTGAGTTACAGGTTTAACGGCTGTCAGATTTTCATGTGTAAAAACGGACAAACATGAATAGCTAAGGAACTGTTTTCCAACGACTCGATACACTTGGCTCAGAAGTGATGAATTGGCATAGTTTCGTTTCCCGTCATTGTTTAAGCAATGTCTTCGAACGCTCATAAAAAATCCGTACGTCATCAGCAGCTTACCAACCTTATTACCGCTGAAACTTTATTTAACACAAAGGATATGAGAACGAAGAACTGATTAGGCATAAGTGTACAGAGCAGGTAACCACTTCGTTAAGAATCACGTGTCAGGATAAAGGGATAAAAGCCTATTCGCCCGTGTCACTGCAACAGCTACTGCGCCACGTAACAAGAAACTTCGAACGGTCCTCATTGGTTGGTAATGACTAGACAATCGGACTTAATAAATCTGACTTTTTCTGATGACTTCACAACAAACCTGTCCGGAAGAAAGATTCTTGGTTGAAACAAAATAAAACTAACTGCATGTGCTTTTTCTGTAAAATTCAAAGTAGTATTCATAACCGTACGACCTTATTATCCGGCACCGAAAAATTTGAGCATATCAGTTAATCAATTCATCAATTTTAACAACCTTGCCTTTTGCAGAGATTTCACTACCTTCTAAACTTCAATTTTTGAGATATAACTTTTCGTCCTGTCTCGTGCGCTTGCACGGGTTTAAGAAGTTCTACAAAGAGTTCTTGCCATCGTTACGCTGTGTCCTTGAGGTAGGTTATTCTTCGGGGGACTTTTCTTCGTAACGTTCGGTTTGGCATCCGAAAGTTCAACCCCAATTCCTCAGCACGTTTCTATCGACATTCAACTTTGGCGCCTC